ATCAGGATCTTAGTTTTGGTTTCCTGTTTTATTTTGAAATGTATTTTGTCCTTTTGAATTTTGTCTTGTTTTACTTCCTGTCTGTGTTTTCCCTCCTGTTTGATTGTCCAATTATTTTTCACCTGCTTCCGCTTGTGTTTTCGATGTCTTGTCTTGGTGATTAGTCTTGGGTGTATTTATCTTCCCAAGTGTTCTCGGTCAGTTCGTCTTCATTGTGTCCTCCGTTTGGTTCTTTCTTGTCTGTTTTATTCAGAATTTCCCTCGTCTGCACTCCTGGGTCCTCCAAGTCTTCCCTGTTTGTTCCTCTTTTTGGTTGCCACTTTTCCAGTTTTTTTAATAAAGCTGTCTTTTCGTTTATTCTTTGATAACCGCCTCTCTTTACTCTGCATTTGGGTCCTTGTTCCCTTCCCCTGTGACCCTCATTTTAAGAAAGACACATAAGTGAACTAATGCTACGTATGTAACCTAAATATTTGTAATTGAATTTAGGTAGCTGTATTGCTTAAAATGTGTGTTTGCTACCTTTTGTGAACCTAACCTAAGTTTGACTAACAAATCATCAATCACATATTGAAAAATAACGTTGAAATACGGCACTAAAGAGGTACCCAGTGCTTTAAGAATGAACAACAAAGGGTTGTGACCAAGCGTACGTATGTGAAGATTTTGGAGTGAACATGATGAACGTCCTGCAAAATAACTCTATAATGTGTTTGAGTGTGATTTGGTCCTAGAGAAAAAGTGCAGCTACTTTATAAGAAGCTACATCATGTTTTTTGTTGCATGTAGAGATTTGGACCACCAGATCAAGAGTACTACTATAAGAAGTCTGATGACACTCAACCAGATGATCCTGAGTTCTCAAAGCAGACAGACGCAGTGGATATCAAAGGTAATGTCTTATTATTGGATTATTTCAAGTACCACAGAGGTATTTTTAATCCAGGAGGGGGAAGTTTTAGTAGTAATGTCTTCTGCTCTCTGTAGGAACGGCTGACAGAGCTAGAGGAAGAAGGAGAGATACTCATGGTAACACGAGGAAGGGTGACCTAGACCTAAAGGTGAGATTCAACAGACAATAAGAAGGTGATAATGAGTGAAAAAAGTAATTTTTAATGTTATTTGTAAAGGTGCAGAAGCCTATTTCAAAGATATCTCAAATAATGTATGCACTGTAATTTCCCAACGTAAACATAACAGTCTGCAATGAAATGGTTGTCTCCCGTGTGCTCCATTTCCTCCATGGCGCACCGGTAACTTTCTCAACCAAAAAAAATAAAAAAGTCAGACTTTTTTTTTCTCCCTTTAGGGGCTCCGTACTTTCATGATACACACACGTTTTGTTTAGCATAATCTCCACATATCAACACCACTTAAGCTTAAATGCAATCACCAGAAGTAAAAAGCTAAGGCTATAAACAAACTACATCACGTTTGCATGGCAACACATAACCACTGCTAAAGGCGGTCTCATGTCACTTGTAACCAACCGCCGTTTTTTCTGACACATAGATGCTTCTGATATACACAAGTGGAGTATTTACTGATGTATTTCATGTCAGGGAACACAATTGGAAGATCTCTCAAGCTTGTGTTAAGCATAGACCTTATTTCACCATAAACATTTTCAAAAACTGTTGACATCGAGACCAGGGAACGGAGGCTATAAAAGGTTATGTGAGGACTTGTTTCTGCACCACTCTATTGAAGTGAGAGTGTTATGTACTGATGTCAAATGTGATGTTGCCCTTTTTCATATGCAATGAGTGTGGGTCCTGCGGTGGGGGAATGGAGAGAGGAGGATGGTCTCCTGCTATCACATGTGAATGATGTATGTGCAGAGTATATCTGAAATTGAATATATTTGTTGAGGGTCTAAGGATAGAGGGTGTCGTTTTTCTCATACTGATATTCTGAAAAATCTGTGTTGTTGTATTTGCTGTAAAGTGTCTCTACTGTAGGCTATTTTTATTATATGTACAGCACTTTGGCTCAACCAAAAATCGTTTATAAATGTGCTATATAAATAAAACTTGATTTGATTTGTTACATATTAGAAGTTTAGATTTTTTTATTTGATTTTGGATTTGTGAATGGGAGAAGTAGTAGATGGAAAAAATACCAAACACTAATTATTCAAAGTAGAGTATTTCATTTTATATACGGTAATACTAAGGAGGCATAGGCCTACAGTATATGATGATATAATGTTTGACATTATTGATATTAAAAAAGTGATTTGTTTTCCATGTCATTTGTGTGTTTTTCTTATCAGAAAGTGAAGTTATTTATTTGTAAGCTCCAAATTCCCTCAACGGCCTTTGTGCCCTGGCATGTGGCCTTTGCGCCCTGAAAACATTTGTGACACCAAAGGCCAAATGGCCTTGCCCCTAACATGACGAAAATCCAAGCCTGGTGTATAGTTAAAACAAATGCAAATACAATTAGTTTTAAAAATCAAAATCATATGCAATAAACCAACTTTTATTACCGACTTATA